TGCTTCGATTTATGACCATTTCAAGTTACGTCCATCTTCTGGAATGGATTATGGTCATAAGTCGAGGCACCACTGTATCCAAAAAGCACGGAACTCGTAAATACCTCAAACAGTTTTAAAATTCTGGTGGTAAGTAGATCTCTTAAATTAATAGTAATAATTCTGTGATGATTATCTTTACAAGTTATTGATTGGCACACTATGTAAATAGCAGAGTTTACAATCATTTTGATGTCACTTGTAAGGCATGCATATCTTATGATTGTTCTGCAGCAGAAAATAAAATAACATCCATAGCATACCCATCTATTAGTAGTACTGTTATTCAAGATTGTGTTTAACCAAGCAAGATGTCTTCTAATGCAGTGGTTCCCAGCCTTGGGTAACCCAGGTGTTCTTTGACTGCAGCTCTTAGAAACCCCAGTCAGCATAGCTGGTGGTGGAGGCTTCAGAGAATAGCAGTCCAAAAACACCTTGGTTACCCAAGGTAGCGGGAACTACTGATGAATAAAACGGATATGTGAAATGTTGTCATGTTGTGAGCTGCCCAGGATTGCATCATCATGATAAAAGAAGGCTGCTGAGAGATTTGAAAGTAAGAAAAAGAGCATGGAGGCATAGCACACTATCCTACTACTTGCTGCTGATCCATCTCCTTGTTTCAGGAATATATGTTTATCTAACATACGTATAAGTGCCTTTACAGGTAAAACTCTCAAGGTAGTTCCAAGGTGAAAGTATAGATAGCAATTATAAAACATCTAGCTATATACAAAAATTAAATTAATAATCCCAACTGGAAGTCAGCAGTCCAATAACACATCTCATGAAGAAGCCACCAGAAAAATCAAATGTGTGTGATATTTCAAATGCAGTTTTTACTTGACAGAGTAAATATTTCAAGTACATTTTCCCTTGCTTATCTAATTTATGCTTTTTGCATCCATGGCGTAGGCTTATTCTTTTTGCACATATAAATTCAGCAGAAAAATTTTGAACTTTTCCTAGGCATTTATGCTTTTCTAAAGACCTGCAAAATTAACGTGGCCCAAAGTATCCCAAGTGTTAATGCAGGGTATAAGCACAGTACCACTGTATGAATGGCTGACTCTCTTTTGCTTGCCAAGTTAATTCCACTTAGGAATGGACACATGAGAAGGGCATCTGATTAAACTGTGGGTAACAGTTGGGATTGTAGCAACTGAATAAGTCGGACCATCATGACTAGTTCCATCTCAGCGTGCTGTGTGTGTTTTTTACTATAATTAGTAGCAGACACAATCATCTTAAACAGCTCTGCTATGTTCTTTTCTTCATTGTGTGTTTTGTCTTTTCTATGTGCAGAAAAAGCAGCAGCAGCCAATGAAGATGAAGTGCAGAAAGCTGATGTGTCATCTACAGGACAGAGTGTCATTGACAAGGATGCTCTTGGACCAATGATGCTTGAGGTGATGTGCATATGAATTTCTATGTTTGGTATTATTTACTGTATCTTGGTAAGATTCAGCTAAAAAATAACAATACAGTTTTTAACTGAGCTTTCTCTAATTTCAGCCCCGACCCCCAAAAGTCTTGTGGGTATATGAAGAAAGGTCACATTTTAAATTTTAAAAAACATGAAGTCTAAACCAGAATATAAATTGTCTTCTGTTGCTACATATTTTTTTGAGAAAGGATCTGTTGCAGTTTAGTTATGCTAAATCTTAGATATCTCCTTTTTTCCTGTGGGCAGCTAGGAGAGAGTGTGTGACTCCTGAATTAGTGTCAGAATGCATGCATATGAGTGCACATGTATGAACACTATCAATTAGTTATATCTCTAATATTAATATTCTTAGAATGAGAAACGTATTATAATTGCTAATCTTTACTAAGATGCCTGCTTGATTTTTCTACTGTCTGGGCTGAAATTAGAAAAATCAGTGTGGTGTGGTGGATAGAATGCCAGATCAGGACCCAGGAGACTTTGGTTCTAATCCCCACTCAGCCATCAGATAGTGGCGATAATGAACTACCCCTTGAACATCTCACAAACCTCAAGAACCTTAATAGGGTTACTATAAGTTGCAACTTGACAGAACATGACAACAGCAGACTAAAATAATTTAAGTTGCAAATACTGCATGTGGCCTTGTGAGTTTTCTTATTAGCTCAGTTGTTCATATGGTTAAAATTAAGCTGTAAATATCAGGCCCATATCTTCTCTACCTTCTGCCTAAAACCTTATATTAGTGCCTCTCCATGGTCCACATACACTGTATGTATTAAAAAGTAATACCCAATGACAAACAGGATTTATTCTGATGTAAGTTTAGGGGTGCAGCTGTGTGTGTTTGTGTGTGACATTTCAAATGCAGTTTTTACTTGACAGAGTAAATATTTCAAGTACATTTTCCCTTGCTTATCTAATTTATGCTTTTTGCATCCATGGCGTAGGCTTATTCTTTTTGCACATATAAATTCAGCAGAAAAATTTTGAACTTTTCCTAGGCATTTATGCTCAGTCAGGCTTGCGTTGGTGCAGTATATGTTGCTAAGCAACACAGTTCCTTTTCTTAATGAACATTTCATATTGTTCTGAAAAATATTCTAATAGGACAACTGCTTTCTCCCTTCCTTGCCCTTAATAAAGAAATAAACTAAAGGCAGTGGGTTGCTTGAAGGATTAACATGACAATTAACAAATAAAGTGTGTTTTTCTCTCTCTCTGATTTGATCCAGTGTTAAGAGAATTTAGGAGATAACAGCATTACTGATTTTTGTCTTTACAGAGTGTCAACAAAATGTTTAAAATATTTTATTTTCTAAACTTTCAGGCCCTTGATGGTTTCTTCTTTGTAGTGAATCTGGAAGGTAATGTGGTGTTTGTATCGGAGAATGTGACACAGTACTTAAGGTACAACCAAGAAGAGCTGATGAACACAAGTGTATATAGCATCCTGCATGTAGGGGACCACAATGAATTTGTCAGAAACCTTCTGCCAAAATCTTTAGGTACAGTGCTCAAAAATACATCTAGTGTTATTGTGTGTGTTGTATGTGTATGTGTTTTAATTTGTTGGGATGGTAATTTCTTAATTTTAATATCATATAATTTAATTATTAGATGTTTTTGTCACCTAATGGACCTTTGCACTGATTAATTACTTTTGTCTTCAACTTGGCACATCACTTTGATTTTAGTTACCTTTAGTTTATATCACTATAATTCAGATCATGAGAGTAAATCATGAATAGTGTTATTTTTCCTATATTAAAACTAATCAGTGACACCACATGAGGATTGTAATGTATAAAAGTAACTATTTAGTGACAGAAGATTGCCACAGTACTGGAAATACAGTGGTGCCCTGATAGACAATTACCTCGCAAAACGGTTTATTCGCTAGATGATGAGTTTTTGCGATCGCTATAGTGCTTCACAAAACGGTGTTTCCTATGGCGATTTTCGCTGGACAATGTTTTGGTCCGTGCTTTGCAAGACTTTTTTTTCGGGACCGTTTTTCGCAAGACGACGATTTTGACAGCTATGTCCGCAAATCTCAAAACGGTTTTCCTATGGGCGATTTTCGCAGAACGACAATTTTCCCCATTGGAATGCATTAAATGGATTTCAATGCATTCCAATGGGGAACCACATTTAGCAAGATGTTTTCGCAAAACAGCGATTCTTGCAGAACGAATTAACATCTTGCGGGGGCACCACTGTATATCCCAGGTACAGCCTTTGTTCCTGTGTGGGCTTCCCATACTCTGTGTTTTTTTTGGTTTAGATTTTTTGGATAGTTGAAAACAGTGCAGTTCCTGCATTCCCAAGTTGGAGTGGACTTGCAGTGTGCCCAACAATTCTAAGCTAGGGGGCAATTGTTAAACTTTGAAAGGCACTATTTCCCTCCCACACCTGTTTTAAATATCTGTTGACAGAAGATTTACGTGAATCATTGACTGCAGTCCCACCACCACCAATGCTGTCTATCCAGTCAGATCTTTGGATGAAATATTGACAAGACTTAAAGGGTGCTTGGAATGGAATGTCTGAGAAAACAGTAAATTGTGACTCAAATCCTGTTCCATGGATTAGGTATCATAAGGCTAATAGCATCATTAGCTACCGTGATGTTTTGGAAATAAAATATTTTTGATTCTACTTTCCACCATCACCCCATAAGGTCTGGAGGCTTCTGTAGATTCCCTTTCATCATTGGGGTGCTGGGGGGGGGATGTGGCAGTGGCAAAGGACAGGACAGGGGAAAAAGGAATTATGGAAAATTACTGCTGTCGGTAAAATCATCCCAGCAGCAGTGATTTTTGGTAATTAAAGTTTCTTCCCATCATCCGGCCCCCTAGTGATGAACAGAATTCCGCAGAAGCGTAATGACCCTTGTGGGGGGAGGGGGAATGGGAATTGGAAATGTTTTATGTATGAAAAATCATTGTGGCTGATGATGTCATCAACCTTACATGGTGTAAGTTACAGAACAGGATTTCAGCCAGTATTTAATAAATCCTGGCAACTTATAATGAAGACAAAATGGAAGATGGGTCATTTATAATGTTGCTTCCTCTGGGTGTCTCAGGTAAGAGTTAGAGGCATGCTCTTTAATAAATATAGGGATATTCACACAATAAACTGATAAATCTATGGTCGTTGCTAGCATTTGTGTGTCACTCAGAAGATAAGTGTTTGGGAAACTTAGTACAAGCATCAGGTAGAGATACAGTTGTCCCCAAAGCAACAGTCAGTGCTCTGTAGAAATAGTCATATGTGTGTATATATATTATGCCTTTTGCTTTTTGTGGTGATGTTTCTGACCCTTGCATGTTAACTCCTCATCTGCTTATGTTTCTAGTATTCCTTTTAGATACAGGTAATGTATCTGGCTTTCTGTTCTGTTTCAACTCTTATGAGTCTTTAATATATAATATTTGCATAATTTGTTCATGGACCAGATATCCTGAGTTAGAAACTGTAGTTCATTTCTTTTTTTGTTTGAGATACTTAATGTTTTACACAGCCCTTATACTCCTGGCCAGTTAATAAGTTCCATTTAAAGAAACTTTGTGGCTGGAAACAATTTTCATTAAGTTAATGCAATGCTGTTGCAGTTTGATTCTCGTTCTCTGTCTATTGTAGGGAAGTCATTTTTATTTATGAAAAACTCATAACATTGGGCAGAATCCTGTTGCCTAGCATATTGAATTAATTGTGCTACACTAGGCCCATTGAATCAGTGGAGATTTGGTGAGTCAAATCCTCCCTAAGCCCAGTAATTCAAATGGACTGATTCTAACTGCAATTTACTACAGCACAGCAGGTTTCAGTTAAAGTAGGCCCATTTCAATAAATTGAATTTACAATGGAGTTGACTCAGTAAATTCCCATTAGTTCACTGGGCGTACTGTAGTGTGATTACCTACTCTCTGCAACATAATTTTAGCACAATAAATAATAAACATAATGAGTGTTTAATTTGTAGGAAGTATATAAGTCAAAATGTTGCAAACTAACAACTGTTAAGTTAGCAGACTTATTTAACTGATGCAGATATTGACCATAATTATGTATTGTTGACATGGATATTCATCCTGTCCTTTCCTCAGTAGCTAGATTACCTTTAAATATGGCCAGTCAGAATATGTTGGTTATCACCTAACTGTTATATATAATCTTTGCTTTATTTAGTGAATGGGGGACCTTGGTCTGGTGAAGCTCCTAGGCGCAACAGCCATACTTTTAATTGTCGAATGTTGGTAAAACCTGTGACTGATTCTGAAGAAGAAGGTCATGATAACCAGGAAGCACATCAGAAGTATGAAACTATGCAGTGCTTTGCTGTTTCTCAACCAAAGTCCATCAAGGAAGATGGTGAAGGTAACCAGAACATTCATTTTCCTTTTAAGTCTTTCTTAAATAAAATAAACTTCCTAATTAAGGCTAATTTATTCAAATCTCTTTCATTGATGTTGTATTTGTTCTGTAGTCTCTAGTCACCAGTGTTTTTTGATTGTATACCTACCAGGCTCTTTAAAGGGCCACGAAGACTTTGTATCAGGGCTAGGGACCTTGTGGCCCTGCAAATATTGTTAGATTTCAGTTCTAGTTAGCTCCAACTCTTTGGCGGTGATAGATGATGGTAGATTGTACTTCATTAGTATCTGGAAGGAGGTAACTACTTCTTTGCTAATGTATAACATCTGACTTGCAGAGTATCTCATTAGCATGTATGATAGTTGGGCTTCTTGTCTTAAGTTGTATAACAATTGTCAGTGATTGAGTATTTGCAAATATTTATATGAACAGAGTTTGCTTACATGAAGCATATCTTAGAAATTACTGTATCAAAGCTATTTTTATGTGCTCCAAAGCTATTTTTTGTTACTGAAAGGTACTAAAAATGTGCTTAGAATTTAGAGTATATGTCGGTCAAGTTGTAGTGGGTTGCTGTAGTGGAGACAACAAGCAGATTTTGCCCACTGATTGATTGCTTTAGTGCCTATCAGATAGGTTATTGTTTCTTCCTTTTTTGCTTGTTTTAAGCTTCAAATATTTCATCTTATAAATACCTGAAAAGTGCATTTACATGACTTGTGTTTTCAGTAGAATATATGCCCTGCAATATTCCAAATGTGTGCAGTATACTAGTGTGAAAAATAACAAATGCAACTACTTGATTTTTAAAAATACATAAACTTATTTACATTTATTGATAATATAATTTTGTTTTAAATCCAAAAACCATGTCACAATGCTTTTGCTATCACTAAATTGAAGATACTAGGAACTGGAAGGATTTCAGCCTGTGTATAGTGTGCGTTCCTCTAGTCTATTTAGAAACCTGTTGGCCTTTAGGGCAGCTGGCCAAAAGCTGACCCATAATGTTTTAACACCCTGAGACCATTTGGGTAATGCTTGAGGACTATTTTTTAGATGCCTGTCAGGGGTAAAACAGAAGTTACAGTGACCACTAACATTAAAAATTGAGATTAGAAGCTTTGTTATACAGTAGTTATGTGCTCTAATAGGGTTTTCCAGGTAAGCATTGGAAGTTCCAAATTAACTTGGGGTTTTGTTTGTTTGTTTCAAGTTATTGGCAGATAAGCATGGGGTTCCTTTGCAAGCTGACTAGTCATAAAAGATTTGAATGATTACCTATTTCAGAGAGAAAATACGTTGTCTCCTTCTAGTTACAAAACTAATATAATGTCCAATTCTGTCCGAGTGTAGTATTAACTACACTCACACTTCCTCTTCTGGAAAGTGTTACAGTGAATGCCTGAAGTCTTGGTCTGCCCCTCCCAAAAGAAGGGGGCATAAGCAACAGGGTAAGAGTTCTTGCTTTGAGTTGCATGGGAACAGTATTGTTGACCCACTGATGGAACTGGAGTTCAGGGGTTTAGAGAAGAGTTGTTTTGAAGATGTCCATAGTCAGGGAGTTTCAGACTCTTCACTTTTAATTGTCCACTGAGGATTCTGTCTGGATTAAATAGATCTCACATGCAAATATTGAAGACACAAATTCTTCTTTGTGGCCTCTTATGTATTCATACAATGGGTGTTTTGTGCCTGTGCAGACAATCCTTCAGAATGTTCCAGAGCCTAGGCTTGTGTTTCCAGTACATATAGCGTGAGCTCTACCTCTGCACCTTAGTTCTTTCCTTTCCACTAGGAGAGGAGCCTCTCTACTTTTCTCATAGTAGAACTTTTCTTTTTCCTGTTCCCTCTTTCTTTTGTTAATAGCTATTAAGTAGCGGGCAGGCAGAAAGAGGGAACTTTTTTTAGAGTTTATTTAGTGTGCTTTCCTTTTCCAATTCCTCCCTTCCTCCCCGCCCCCTTTTTTCTCCCCCCCCCCTTATTTCCTCGGAGTTGATGAAGCTTTGTTCTGGCTGTGGATCTAAAATTCCACAGTCAGACAGCCATACCCAGTGTTTATTTTGTTTGGGTGAAAGGCATCTCATCCTGTCCTGGACTTTACCAAATTAACCTTAAAAAGCAGGCAGTCCAGACTGAAATACCATCTTTGGGAGCAATCCGTCAGCTCTTTCACCTCATTCTTTAAAGCTCCTTGAAAAATTCCTATGGCAGGGTTGGAGAAACAGCTTCCTTCCACACCTGAGGTGAATGATCAGTCAGTATCCAAGGCTTCCCCGAAATTGAAACAAAATACTGACTTCCCAACTAAGAAGTGGAAGAAACTCTCTGAAACTGACAGTGACAAGCCTCTCCCCCTGCCACCTCAAGTAGCAAAAGTGCTCACTCCTGCATTCCCTACTGTGGATGTACCTGCCAAACAGCCTAACCCCATCTCAGTGGGGTCTATGCCAGAGGGAGTACTGCCAAGCTCATCAATACGCAGCATGCCAATGTTGTCTCCTAAGCTACTGACTCCAAGACTGTCACCATGAAGCTGGTGTTCCTCCAACTCCCTTATACTGGAGAAGGTGGCACAGGAGCCCTGATTGTTGAGCTCTCCCTCCCCCCGAAACCATCTTGACCTCACAGACTCCCCTACTCATTGGAAAATCGGTGCTGTCTCCATTCACTCTTTGCAATCAGGGGACATACCCCCTTTCCAGCATGAGATTTCAGTCTCTCCATGTTGAGACCATTATCGGCCTCAAGATCCAGATTATGGCCTCAGACTGTCGGTTTGAGACCTTCCTGCTCTCACTCACAGTCCCCTCGATACCGCTCCCAGTATCATTCACTATCACAAGTTTAGGCGCAGGATCGACTTTTTCTATTCTCCATTCTTCTGTTCCCTGACTACTTCTATAGAAACAGGGACTGACATTTGTTCCCCTGCAGGCACACACAGTATTGTTCACCTGCCCCCTCTCCTCAATTTTGAGACTATCCAAGCTCATCTCCACAACCTCAATACCATCAGGCTACAGCACCTCATGCTTCTGCTACCACAGTCCACTCTAAATCCATTTTGCAGTCACTATTGTGGTTGCAATCAGCAGTGCTGTGACACTAATGGAAGAAGGATACAAGATGAATGAATGAATGAATGAATGAATGAATGAATGAATGAATGAATGAATGAATGAATGAATGAATGAAAATCTCAGCGCACTGGGTCTTGCTGTGATACCGAGCATCAGCCTCACAAACATAAATGAAAGAAACACCATCTAACTACTCATCAACCTCCTCTCAATATTGTCCCATTGCCACCTCTGGACCCCAGTCTTTCATTTCCCTTCTCTTCAGGGCAGTTCCAACTGACTTCAACTCCATCCGTTGACCCACCTCTGGATGAACATGACGATTCACTCTCACACACACTCGCACCTACAATATAAGACGACGGTCCATCCTCCAATTCCAACAGTGACATGGCACACAAACCTGAGGCACCTCCCCCCCCACCTCCGATTCTGGGGGTCCAGGCAAAATCCTTGTATTTTCCAAGTTATTAAATCCACTTTTTCCGCAAAGGACTGTATATTGAAAAGAGTCCACAGGGATGCCAATCTTTCAATACAACTTGCTATTCTTCAGACATAGACAATTAACCCATCTTGGAAAAAGCGGCCTACCATTCCACCTACCTTTAAGAGGACTGAAAAAATTTATAGGGTTCAGGAGGATGGTGCAAACTTCCTCTTCAAACACCCTACACCAAACTCCATTATACTAAAAACTACTCAAGACTAAACATCATGGTAAACCACAGATGACACCTGTCAGTAAAAAAGAGAGGAAGCTGAACCTGCTTGGACAGAAAATCTTTTCTTTGATTGCACCACACATAAGAATCTCCAGTTACCAAGCCATAATGGGAGCTTATCACCAGTTCATCTGAGAACATTTTCACCCCCTCATAGCATACTTAGATTAGGCATCCTTCAGTCTTGAGAGACTATGGTAATGTACTCTGATTAGAGGACTTGGAACAGCTTCTAATGTGGTTGAGAAGACCAATTCGACTGTGACAATCCCTTCCACACTGAAGACAAATACAATCTATCCCCTGTCCAGCACCCTGATTTTGCTGGTTTCGGGACTGCCTCTTTGCCTCAGCTTGCTGAACAAGTGTATCTTCAAAATGGAAGAGGCCAGACCTGCCTCCAGGCTGAACGCTCAGATGTCAAGGTTTCCCATATGGCGAGGTCCATTCCTAAGGCCTTCAGATCCTGCTTGCATACTTACCTGAACATAAACAACCTCTACCCGTTTCCTTTCAATGGGTGGCTTATGCACTGACTGTAACTATTAACATATGAATGTTGAGATTTGTCTTCCTCACCCTGGTTTTCTTGTTTGAGGAAAGGTCTTCCTGGGTCTTTTCCTCTTTTTTCTTTTTATGTGTTGATGGCAAGCTGTTTTCCTCTCTTGAAGACACGATGACTCTACCTAAAGTCTCTGCAGGACCAGATATTTATAAAGTTGACAAAGTGACATCACAAAGTGTGGTCAAGGTATTGTTACCCGGTGTGAGGGTGCCATTCCCAAGGTTGCTAAGCCACATGGGTGTTGGCAATAGGGCTGCAGCTTTAATGAGAAACTGGGGAACAAACTGCACTGCATATGTTGCAGTTGCTTTTGTACTGCTGCACAGAAATCACCAGTGACACTAGTTACAGCAACTGCAAAGAAGATATGAAATTGGAGGCATGACACCATCATCAGAAATGGAAGATGAAAAGCAGCTTCATCCAGCACTTTGTCAGCGGCTTGTGCTTAGAAAACCAGTCCAGCAGATCAGTGACCAACGTCTGCCAGTCGGATATACCAGGGCAACAGTGGGAACTTCTCCAGGCCACATGATGGTTGTCCAGCAACTTCTCTGATGCTTTTGCATGAGACTCTGGGAACGGAAGGGGTTAGGGTGGGGAATGAATGTTGGTTCTCTTTAAACCTTCATTTTGATTGTGATCCTCAACCCATAAGCATTTTAGTTGAAACGTCAGTGTTTTGGGATTCATTAACGGAGCACTCCAAGATGTACAGAACCATCACCAGAAATGGCCCGTCTGTTTTCCCTTCTTTTCGCACTGTGAGCAACACTATAGGAAACTCAACAGCAGTTCAGCACTGGGGAAGGATCCACTCCAGTAACCAAGACTTTGGTATGATACTGACAGCTGGTCCCTACCTCCACACTATTAGGGAGCAGGCCAGGTAGGTGGGGCTCATCAGCCTTGGAAGGCAGCCCATCTAGGAGAAGGAAAGCTCTGATTTCAAGCCTTCATTACCTTGTGGCTATATCCACTGATGGAAAAGGCTACAGGAGTTAACCTCGAGGCAAAATCCAAAGCCGGAGTCATTCTGTCAACTCCTGCAACGTCGCTGGAACCAGTTGTATTTGCTCTTACCTGTCCAGTGGACTATTTCAGTGACATGGAGAGGGCGGATTTGCTGCTTGGCTAACAGCCTATCCTCCATATTACTTTACCCAAGCTTTGTGCTCTGGAGAGGACACTCCAGCTTTGCATACAGTGTTGAAACAACATGGGAAGTAGCAGTAACCGGTTATAAGTCATTGCTCGGCCCTAAGCTGGGCAGCCCCCAGCCAGTAAGGTGCTACCTCACCACAATCTGTTAACCTACGGGGTGCGTGGAGTTTAGGGTGAAAGCCGACAAGCAAATTGATAACCCTGCACCATGTAACAATCATAAGAAAACTTCTGCCCTAAAGCTGGGCACCTGGAATGTACGGACAAAGACCCCTGGCTTTTCTGACTACAGCTTTTCTAATGACTTGCAGGAAATAGCAAGACAGCTGTCATCAACATGGAATTGAGTAGACTGCAGATGGACATTGTTGCCCTGCAAGAGATGTGATTGCCAGATCTGTCAAAGAAAAAAACTCCTGTATGGAGAATTAGTGCAGGGAAATTGACCCAGAGGGAGACCACAGCTGCGATACAAGGATATTGCAGCTGTTGTCTCCCTCTGGGGAGCTTGCGATGCAAGCGGGATCTGAAGGCCTTGGAAATCGATCTCAACAGATGGAAAACCCTGACATCTGACTATTCAGCCTGGAGGCAGGCGGTGCATCACGGCCTCTCCCAATTTGAAGAGACCCTTGTCCAGCAGGCCGAGACAAGGAGGCAGCACAAAAGCAGCAAAATCAGGGAGCTAGACAGGGTACAGATTGTATTTGTCTTCAGTTTGGAAGGGATGGCCACTCTTGTTGGCCTTCTTAGCCACACTAGACACTGTTCCAAGGCCTCCATACAGAACACGATATCATAGTCTCTCGAGACTGAAGGATGCCTAATCAAATCATTGCACTTATTGGTCACCAGATTCATTCTTCCCGTCTTGTCATGGATTGCGTGGCTAAGAGCATGGCATCAGCTATAACCACTCATCACCACACATACAGTACATTAAATCAGTGGGCATTCCTAAGGACTCCAGGCCTTTTATTGAAGAGCTGCCATTTGGTGGACACATCATGCAAGACTTCCACAAGAAAAAGACTGGAGCTAAATGTTTGGGCTTCAACTTAAAACAGCCCTCACAGTCAACCTACCATACCACCCACCGGTGGACAAACCACGGTTTCAACAGCAATCTTATGCTACCTACTCCAGGTACAATAAATACAAACAACCACTGACAAGAAACCTAAACAGTGTCTTTGACTCTCCCTTCTGAGATTGAGAACATTCTGTCCCTCATCCCTTCCCCAACCTGAACATTTTCCACACACAATCGGCGCAACATAAGCACCAGCTCTTGGATACTGGACATCATTGTTCATGGCTATGCTGTCAAGTTCCATTGCTTGCCTCCAATGGGACGTATCCAAGCTACTCTACCATCACCACTCCTGGTGGTGGAAGTGGTGTCACTTCTAGTGAAACACACCATCCTCCAAGTCCCAAGGGAATCCCTGCCAGATAGCTTTTAGTCCTGTTATTTCATCGTATCCAAGAGTGATAGCAGTCTACAAACAATTCTAGATCTCAGATGCATCAACAAATACATCACCATTAAACAGTTCTGCATGATGACTCTACAGACCATTCTAGCCCTGGGGAGTAATAGGGACTGGTTCATAGCCATGGACTTAAAAGATACTTATTTTCATATCTCAATATGAGACCACCATCAATTCTTCATACGCTTCATCATAGGCCATGATATATCAGTTATAAATCCTTCCATTCTGCCCCTCACTTCTCATGCCATGCGAATCTCCACTTTGCAAGCATCCACAGTGCTCTCCATTTAGATACTGTTGGGACTAATGGCCTCAACCATGACTGTGATCCCACATGCCAGACTTTACATGAAACCCCTTCAACTCTACTACCTCCTAAACTACAACAGTCAGACAGATTCACAATTCAAGAAGCTTCTCTTGCCTTGCCAATTCAGGAAGCAAGTTCTCTGGTGGACCAACGATGTCACCTGATGGTGGGAATACCCTTCTGGCATCCCCAATGCAGCCTGATGTTGGTTAACGATGCCAGCACCACTGGCTGAGGTGCTCACTGCCTCAACAATGCCATTTGTCCCCATATGAGAGGATGCACCACATCAATTTCCTCGAGCTGCTGGCAATCTTCAAAGCATTTGGCTTTCATGAACCTCCATGTCAACAAGATTGTACACATTGCCACAGACAACATAGTAGCAATGTACTATCTAAACAAGTAGGGCGGTACTTGATCCCTTTGCCTGCTCTATCTCACCATTCACATATGATACGGATGTATTACCCACAGGATCTTCCCCATGCCTATCCATGTTTCCAGATACAATACCAAAGCCAGTGCTCTTGGCTATGCTTTGGTACAGACACATGAATGGGAACTGTCCAAGAGCATCTTCACTGCTCTCACATCACATTAGGCCTTCAGATCCTGCTTGCATAGTCCCATGGAATGCAGCCCTCCACCAGCTTGAGAGCAATAGAGGTGGCACTTCTTGTTGGCATCAGAAGTATGCTAGTAACCTGTTGTGTGAATACATAGAGGCCATGAAGAAAGACAAGCTACTCACCTGTAACTTCAATTATTCAAGTGGACCTCTGTTTATTCACACATTCTGTCCTCCTCCCTGCTACTGTCTCACCACTCTCTCTCTCTTTCTGTCTGTCTCTCTCTCTGTCTCTGTCTCTCTCTCTCTCTCTCTCTCTCTCTCTCTGCGGCGGGCACAGCAAGGACTAAGGTACAGAGACGGAGATCATTTTATTTATTTATATCACACACACACACGAGGCTCCGGAACATTCCAAAGGATTGTCTGCACAAGCACAGAACACCCATTGTGTCAAAGGACTGAAGTTGTAGGTGAGTAACCTGTCTTTCACTCACAGCAGGACTTTGGATAGACAGCCTGGGCAACATTTAGCAAATGATAACATTGCCTTGTAAAGAAGACAACTAAGTGTTGCCCAGACTGTCTGCCCAAAGTCCTGTTGTGAGTGAACCTGTTTCTTTAATACTTGTATGTGAGATGAAGCATGTGTTAAAAACACAGATAGAAGGAATAGAGAATATGTTGGGATTGATTCCTCTTCATGGCCTCTGTGAATTACAGTGGACCCTTGACTTACAGACGGCTTGACTTACAGACTTTTTGAGTTACAGACTTCTCTGGCCGCAAAATTTAGGTTTGACTTGCAGACTGAGATTTGACTTACAGACCAGAAAACAACCAAAATGGAACAAAAACGGCCTGTTATGGGATTAATCGGTTTTCAATGCACTGTAGGTCAATGGAGACTTGACTTACAGACTTTTTGACTTGAGAACCGCTTTCCAATACGGATTAAGTTCTCAAGTCAAGACCCCACTGTACACTCTGTGTGCTCTGCACATGCACGGAGCCTCATCAGAATATTCTAGAGCTTCTACAGTAGAAAAAGATACAGTACATTAGTGTAGGCCCCTCGCCCCTGGTATATGTACCTTGGCGCCAAGGCTCTCCCTTAGTTTCTCTTCAATCGGCGCATTGAAAGCCTCAGTCATACCTTATAAATAAATAAATAAATAAATATTCTTTATTATTTTAGTCCCTTCCTTTGCCATTCTTATTCTTTAAAGAACGCCCAGACCTTTGGGCCAAAGCCCCCCCTCCCCATCTCTCCAGTTTTGGTTCATGGCCTCTTCAGGCCTGTTCAAACGTTGCGTGGTCTGTAAGAACAAAATTCCCGTCTTGGATGGCCGTGCTAAGTGTCTTTTTTGCCTTGAAGAGGCTCATCAAACCTCTTCGTTGTCACTACAAAAACTTCAGGCACAGGGTTCTCCATAGTCGCCTTTCTAGACTCAAACTTTGGCTTTGGGAGCAATCTCTCTAGCCTACTAACTAAACCCATGGCTCAACGATCATGCATTTCTGTACCCCATGCCAAAGTCATGGACAAAGCCATGTCCAT